TAGTGGGACATTTTAATTTGTACATCTAGCTGGAAATGGTGACACATGTCTTTAATCTCAGCTCTTGGGAGACAGAAGCAAGTGGCTCTCTGTGAGTGTGAGGGCAGCCTGGTCTATGTAGCAAGTTCCAGGCCAATGAGAGCTACAAGTGAGACCATGTCTCTAATAAAATAATAGTAATAATAATAGGAGGAGGAGGAAGAAGAAGATGACATCCATATTGTCCTTTATTTACAAGTTTTCTTTGGGCTAGGGATATCACCTCAGTAGTAGAAAGAGCACTTACCCAAATTGCTCTAGATAGCCTCAATGCCAGTTTTTTTTAAATAGTAAAATATTTCATGTTAAAATTAAATATTGCTGGGTGTGGTGGCACACACCTTTAATCCCCAACACTCTGGAGGCAGAGGCAGGTGGATATCTGTGAGTTCAAGACCAGCCTGGTCTACATAGTGAGTTCAGGCCAGCTGGAGCTATAGGGAGACCCTATCTCAAAAAGACCAAAACAAAATTATTAAATTAAATATTTGAGGACTGGAGAGATGGCTCATCAGTTAAGCATATTGACTGCTCTTGCAGAGGACCTGGGTTCAGTTCCCAGCACCCACATGGTAGCTAACACCTGTACTGTACCACATGGGTCCACCTTCCTACATGCAAGCAATATACTTGTACACATTAAAAATAAGAAAGAAGAAATACTTTTTAAAAGTAAATATTTGTTCTTAACTGTGTTGTTTTTTCTTCTGCAGCAACTCTAATTACTTGTAATGGAATTGTCTTGTTTTCTATTTCAGTCTCTTTCAGTTTTCCCTAGTTTACCTTGCTTTCATTCTCTTGAAAAATTTTGAAATAAGAAATAATAACTGAATGTATAAGTTTTAGTAATAACTGTTTTTCATTGATCACTTTGTAGTTCATTGTTCATTTCTGATTTTGTTTTGCTGTTTTCTTCTGTTTCTCTCACCAGTTTAACCAGTGCTCCCATTTTTCAGTTTTTTTCCCCCCATTTGTATTCTTAGTTTTAAATACCTAATTCAAGCTCCCTTTTTAGTACTTGTATGAAAACTTTAATTCAGAGTGCAATATTGAGTTTTTCTGCTTCCTAGTTAGTTTGGAAAATTGTTTACTGAATTGTTTTTGAGTATTTTCTATTTTTATGATAATTTTGTAAATGAAGGTTACAACTTTGTACTTTGTACTTTGTACAGAATGGCAGTTTGGGGTGATTTATAAAGTTGTCGTTCAAAACACCCTCTATTGAGGAGACGATGGGAGACTGGTTGTGAGCGTTTCACTATTGTAATTCTTTTGTATAGCAGGATCTTAACTTTTTTTCTCTTTTTTTGCCCTTTGCTCTTCCTAAAGATTCCTTGCTTTTTACCCTCTTTCTGAGTGTCTTGCCTTGCCGAGACGCCTCTTCAAGTTTCACATGCACTGTTTACTCCCTTATTTACAATCTGCTCTACTCTACCAAGACATTGCTTTCAGTGTTTGGCTTTCATAGAAGTCTCTCTTTCATAGGGTATCATAGTTTAGTCTTCTCTTCAGCCTTTCATGTGCTACACAATCTCATGATTCTTCTGGAAGGGCTTGAAATAATAGCTTGAGAAATTGTTAGTTACATTCTCCAACTGCAAATAATTTGACACTTGTGATATCCTCTCTCTCTCCTAGAATGTGGAAGGCATAAATTTTCACAACTTTATTCTTACTATATGTTTATGTAGTTTGGGCAGGATGATTGGCAGATGTCAGTGTGTGTAGTCTCTACTACCTTGTCTATCCAGAATCTTTTATTTCTTTATTGCCAGTATCTTCCTTCTAGAATGCATGCTCTGTTAAAGCAGGGACCATTTTAGTTTGATTGTTATATTCCTAATGCCTACTAATAGAAGATGTCCAGTAACTATTGAGTAACACTTCTTCAAAATGCATACATGGCTGGGCGTGGTGGCACATGCCTTTAATTTTAGCATTCAGGAGGCAGAGGCAGGTGGATCCTGTGAGATCAAGGCCAGCCTGGTCTACATAGGGAGTTCCAGGACAGCTGGGACTACAGGGAGACCTGGTCACAAAAACAAAATGCATACATGTTTTTCACCCATTTTTTTTCTGTGCAGAGCTGAGTTCTTGGTGCTTCTTGATGAACATTTAAGTTCTTTTAGGTGTAAAGGTTAACAGTCTAATAATTTAAACCATTAATATATCTTATAAGAATATTAGCTGTGACATAGGCATCAATGAGACAGTTTTTTGTGTGGCTTTTCTTTAGATTCAATGATACAGGATTTAAATTTAGAGAAAATTTATCAGATCTGGTCCTATGGGTAGTGGTTATAATTATGTGATTTTCTTTTAATCTCTCTAATGTTTGAGTCTTTAATATTTAACCCATATAATGAACACGACCTTTTGCCTGGTAGAATTTTGTACTTTGAGTGGTTTTGTTTTGCTTTGTTTGAGACAGGGTCTCTCTGTAGCCCCAGCTGGACTAAAACTTGTTATACACACCAAGCTGACCTTGATCTCAGAGATCTACCTACCTTTGCCTCCTGGCCTATGTAGTACTTTTTTGTATCTGCATTGTGTCACTGGTGCCTCTCCTGTACCCTTATATCAGTAAAGAAGAAAGAAATTAATAGGCAGAGCTGATAGTAGAAGACTGAGTTTGGAGAGAGAAGGAAAGGGAAGAAATAAAGGAATGGAGAGTCTGCCAAACCAGGAAATGCCATTGGCCATGACTTCAGCTATATCTAGTTGGCCCCTGTTCACTAGGTTGTCTATTCTTGCCCTAGGAACATATTTTCCCCACCTAAAAATAGACTCGTGCCATCTGCATTGTGGTAGATCCCTTTTGTTACCTAGCTAGTAAAATTTTTGCAAAGACAATGCTTCGAGTAGGACATTCATTCTAGAGAGTATAACGAAATTTTAATAACTAAAGGAATTTGTATTTTATATTGTTCCACTAAAAATGTTTGGATGCTTCATTGGTTGGCAAAGAAAACAGGGAAGCCTTTGATTTCTTTAGAGGGCAAACTGGGCTGTGGCTGATGAAGTGGGCATGCTGGTGAATGACATTTGGTCTATTTTTATATCATTGGAAACAGTCTATCCTTAAGTGTATTGTTTCAGTGAAGGAGAGCATGCTGTGAAGTCATGAGTGGAATTTTTACATTTGATCACAGGATGTGTTCCTCCCAATAGTTTACAGGCTCCATGGATTTAGCTTCTGAACTCATAAATCTTTTACTAATTTCAGATTTTTAAAGAAAGACTAGAAACATGCATGATTAACATCGAATAGCAATTATTTTGAAATTAGATTGGATCCTTAAACTATTTGTAAATGATCCTGTTTTATTCACTTCCTAAATTTTCCCAGATTCTGCAACTCATTGGGCCTTGTTCATTTTATCTCTATTAAAGTATGTGATTGTGTTCAAAGTTGAACTCATCTGTTACCTCCTCAGATGTATTCAATTCACTTTCTCTGTTTTTCTCAAAACTTCAGTTTGTATTACATTTATTTATTATGTGTATGTGCATGAACACATGTGTTTGCGTGTGTTTGCCACAGCACATGTGTGAAGGTCAGAGGACAACTTTGAGGAATCTGCCCTCTCCACCACTTGGGTTCCAGGTATTGAACTCAGATTGTGAGTCTTGGTAGCAAATGCCTTTAACTGCTGGGCCAACATCTCAGCAGCCCTCCAAACAGGTTTTGAATAAACTATAAAAAAAAAAAAGTATTCATAATCTGAACACCAGAACTCATTCCTGTTTGCTGATTGTGTGTTCCCAGTATATGCTCATACATGCAGGAGTTTAGTTACAGTGAGCTGCTTCATATTCTGCTCCTTTGACTTAACATTTACCAGATGATCTTTCTATAGTACAATTTTAAAAATCGTATTGTTTTTATTGGACTTGAAAATTTCTTTAAAGATTTACATTTAAATGATGTACTAACATTTGAAGTATCTTGTTTTCTTTGACTGATTCATGTCTAATTACTATCAAAATGTTTTTGTTTGCCCATATAACTTACATACTTCAATATGATTTGTGTCAGTCAATTTCTCTAAGACATATAAATGAACTTTCTAGAAGGGATGTGTAACTTTTAACTCACTGCTTATCTGAATAGTTGACTTAAAGTACATTGCTGGTGTTCTGCCAGTGTTTAAATTTGATTTTTTTAACTGAAATTAAATCATTACTCGTGTCATTTTGTTTTTTGGACTCACTTCATTATATAATATCTGTCATACTTAGAAACATTGTTAAAAGCCGTAACAACTCCTGGATAATTCTTAGAATGCTAAAGTTTATACCAAAAAATTCAAACTTTTTTCTGTTGCCATGAATTTTTGTTTCCTTTTTGTCAATTTTCTATTTCCTGAGTTTTCAGCATAATAGAATTCTCAGCTTTAAACTGCATGCAGTTACTGTATATATTCACTACAGGTTTTAGAGTTGAATAAATATGTATTCATTCCTATGATATATACAGGGATCAGTATCAGTATCAGAGGAACTCATTTGTAGAGTGTTGCTTTTTTTCCCCCCTAAATCCTTCTTCAGAGATACCAGTAAGGAGGACTTCATTTCTCCCTTTCTCTCCCTGATTTCACCTGAGGTTGCTCATAGTTATATATGAACAGAAATGAAAGTGTTACAGTGAAAAATGTGAACAGTCCTGAGGATGGTTATTTACCTGCCCTTCTGTAAACTGCCTAAAGCATTGCCTGGGATGAATCAGTGAGTCAGTAACAGTTTGTTGGGTGGGCAAAGGATTCATAGCTGAGCCAGTCCATACAAATTGTGGTTTTCAGAGATAGCTGAATCTGAAATCTCCTTAAATTATATCAAATTGCGCTTCAGAGGCCCATCCTGATTGTCACTTATTATAAGATACTAAGAATAGCAGCAAATTGCATTGTTCTCTAAACAATGAATTCACATGTGTGTGTATTATACTTTTGTTTCTGAAGGAAGTTGAAATTCGGAACAAAGACCTGGAGGGACAGCTGACTGACTTAGAGCAACGTCTGGAGAAGAGTCAGAATGAACAAGAAGCTTTTCGCAATAACCTGAAGACACTCTTAGAAATTCTGGATGGAAAAATATTTGAACTAACAGAATTACGAGATAATTTAGCCAAGCTACTAGAATGTAGCTAAGGAAGGTGAAATTTCAGTGCCAGTTGATTAAAAGATACACTGTCTTCATAGGACTATTTGGGCTCTGTACCAAGATTGCACAAAAATTTTGACTATCACTCCTCCAGAAGGAGGAGTTTTGAAAATTGGAATTGTATATTTCAGTATAAATTTTAGAATTCAGCCTGTAGCTAGTTGGGGAAAAAAAAGAGATGAAAAACTTGAACTACAAATTACCTCCATGTATATTGGCCATAGTTAACTAGAAGGTTATAAATAGACATTTAATGCAGTCTTTTTTTTCCTGATATTAGCCAGTGGGAGAATTAACAATGTCTGGTTCCCTTCTCCTTTTTCTGTTTAGCACAGTGAAAATTATCTGCTTTTTAAATTAATTTATTTATGATATTTACAGCTATGTTTTGTGCAGAAATTTAGTAATGAAAGCCCTATCTTTTGTTGTAATCTGAATAATTTCTCAGGATATTTCTGCGCTGCTGAGAAGCAGGGCCATTACCAATTAATTCTTGCCAGGAGTGAGAGAAAGCTACATCTTTAATTGAAATCACTATAACTGGGTGTATAGAGTTCTTCCCTTTTTTGTGCTGGAAGATTTTTCACTCTGGTGACTACTCTGGTACACACCTGGTATTCTCTAATCTTGTCTGATGTATAGTTTACTTTTCCATATTGATTCCATGTATTTATGAGAAGATATTGTCTCCCAATTTATTATACATTTTAAAGCCAACTAACAAAGGCAGCTGAGTCCCTCAGAAATTTTTCTTTTTAAATTTCTAATAAATTTGACACACAGAACTGAAATACAGCAGTCCGTCCTTGACGGTCTAGTCTAGCAATGTTAAGTATATTTACAGAAAATATGCAGTTATATTTATTTATATATTTGGCAAGAAATCTTTTCTGAATGATCAATGCATTTCAATTTATGAAAACTAATGGTTATTGGGGAACTGTTTATTATAGATCATTTTATGGTGTATAGCTATTTTCAAGGGGATCCATTTACATTTAACAGCCAATCAGAGGACTGTATCTAAATTGTGTGATTGTGGCAGATGGAGATAGAGTGGTGTACTCTGTCTGGGTCTTCACATCAACCATATCTTTGTTGAAACTTCACAAGGCAATATTCTGAACTGTTAACTAAGACATTTCAAAACAGGAAATACATTCAACAGGCTCTTCTCGGTGAGCAAGTTTTAATGTTGTTTTGATGTAATTTTAAAAGACTTTTAGCTAACATGCATTTCTTTATATGATATATTTCTTTTACAAAGCTATTTTAAAAGTAAGCCAAGTGCTGTCTGGTCTGCTTATGGAGTAGGACTTGCATCAGAGTACATATATTCTTGCTGTACAATGCCTGTGATGTTGAGGAGGGTTCTTTTTAGTGTATGCTTGAGTACCTGGCTCCCTGGAGTCAGTGAATGCACTGATTTTTTTTGTTTGTTTGTGCCCCAAATGACTGAATTGTTAAGTAAAAAATTAAGCAAATTAACCAATTTTTTCATTCATAAACAGCTTCTCAACACTAGATAGTTTTGTTTTATATTTATGTGTATGTACGTAAATACATACATATTAATTTATATTAGAGTGAAAAATAAATGGTTTGTTTCTAAAGTTAGTTTCTACAGTGAGGTGTCTCTGAAAAGTTTGTATCAGACACACACTTAATCATCATGTATTGTATGTGCTATGACATCATGTCAGTCACCTCCATCTATTTTAGGATATTTTCCTTTCCTATTTACTATAGAGAGAATAATTTAGATACACATGCTGAGAGCCAAGATGATAAATCAGGTAATAAAATGTATTTGATGGATAGAATTTTGAAATAGATATGATTTAATCTATGAGTTTCTGAATAGCGAAGAATACCAGGTTTTAATTTAAATAAAAGACTAACACTAGGGATCAGGGAATTTAGTTACGAAGAGTTTTAAAAAAATCTTTAAAAAAATTAAAAATGGTGTAAGCTGTTGAAATGGTAAGCGAATTATTTTAATGATGTAATAAAATATTTTTAAATTTTGGCATAGTGATCATTTAATGGGAAAATAACTCACCAAAATGTCTCCACTTGAATTGTATTGATAATGTGAGACATATGTGTAATTCAATATATACATATACCTATATGTATATACAGAAAATTATTTTTAATATTTTCCTACTGCTGTGAAATTTAAAATTGGAAATTTTGTGAGTGTTTTCCGTGTCCAATAGAGTCTAATTATTTCTTTTTTAGAAACTTAACAATTCCTTGAGGGCTGCACCTTTAAATTCCCAGATTGTCACTAGACATGTACAGTATATGGGATAAGGTGGACACAAGTGCACATATAAATAAAACCTTCTTATTGAGACTATTTTAAACATTCATTTACAGTAGGAGAGTATCTAGAAATCATCTATAAGTCATAATTAGGTTGTGTGCCTACTGTAGTTTTTTCCATTTCTGTATTATATAAATAAACATTTGCATATTAAAATTTGATTTTTCCCAGAGATAAATATTACATAATGTATCTATATTTAGATCAAACTGTGGTAATATATTGATCAGAACATAATGTTGGGGACTGTAGCCTGAACATGTGGACTTACAGTGACACGGAGGCGGAGAGCAGAGATCAATCCCAGTGTGTGTAAGTTATTATAACTATGAATTCTTGTACAAAAGCAAAAATTGGAAAAAAAATACAGTTTTTATTTTGAAATACATTTGTTCTCTGGAGAATGTACTTCATCTTTCTCTCTTGAGTCCTTCACAAATACTTAAGCGTTTAAGTGATGGTGGCATTTACTGAAATCCACAGGTGCTACTGGATTTTTTCATTAGTGTGTGATGTATTAAAATCCTAACTTTGACATAAAAGGTTTTATAAGTATTTCCCTGCCTGAAAAATTAGTTTTTATTCTTCTCTCCTCATTCCTCCTCTCTCTCTCTCTCTCTCTCTCTCTCTCTCTCTCTCTCTCT